GCAGTCCCTGCAAACTGAAACACACTTTGACTACCTATTTTAAAACTTCTGTTGGTCAAAAGAAAAGTTGAAGGAAAAACTAGGAAAACATACTTACAGTATATTTATAAAATGTGAATGTCTTTAATATATAAAGAGCCTTCACAAATTCTATATAGAAAGTTTAACATTGGGTGCAGGGCTCACTGCTTGAAGACTGGACACGGTTGAAGCTCTGGCAGAGTGGGGTGGGGAGCGGGGGCAGGGGCAAGATATGTAACCCTAACAATATTTGTACCCACAGAATTTGAGATAAAAAAATAAATAAATAAATAAAAAAGAAAGTTTAACATCCCCATAGAAAGAAAGGACAAATGTGGAACATGCATGACTGATGTTTAAAATCGTAGAGAAATGTTCAAAGTCATTAGTAATCAAATAAATGTTAAGTTTTTAAAAATTTCTTTTTTTAATTGTGGAAAAATTTAAGTATACATGGTATTAGAGAGACGAGTATAATGAACTGTAATGAACCATACATATACCCATCCTGCAACTTCAACAGTTATCAACTTACTGAGATATCGTTACATTGAAATGAAAACTGGAGGCAGTTTGATTTCTGCCTTCACCCACCATCCAGATTATTTTGAAGCAGATATCAGTCTTTGATTCATTTCATCCATATATATAAAAACATAATTTTTTTTTTTTGAGACAGGGTGTCACTCTGTCACCCAAGCTAGAGTGCGGTGATGTCATCACAGCTCACTGCAGCCTCAAGCGGTCCCCATGCCTCCCATATAGCTGGAACTATAGGCATGCACCATGATGCCCAGCTAATTTTTCTATTTTTTATAGAGACGGGTCTCACTCTTGCTCAGGCTGGTCTGGAACTCCTGGCCTTAAGTGATCCTTCCACCTCAGCCTCCCAGAGTTCTAGGATTATAGGCAAGAGCCCACCACACCTGGCCAAAAAAATCAGATTTTGAAACAAGGCTGTTGGTGGCAAATATTAAAAGTGGGCATAACACACAATGCTGGTGAGGCTTCAGTGAAGCAGACCCTACAATGCTGGCGGGAGTATCAGCTGGTCTAAATTTTCTGGAAGGCACTTTGGCACAGTGTCACAAAGCCTTAAAAGTTTTGCCTGATGATTCTACTTCTGGGAATTTACCTTAAAGAAATAATAGCTATGTGTACATATGTTTATCCTCAAGAATGTTCATTGAAATATTATTTGTAATAAATCATTTAAAGGACCTGAGGTCTAACATCAGAGAAATAATTGCATCTATTACAGGACCATCCAGATAAGGAAATACTAGGCAGCCATCACAAATTATGTTGAAGAAGAATAGTAAATGATATTAGAAAACATTTATCAAACATAAAGTAAAAAAGAAAAGGTTTATAAGACAATAGGTACCATATATTCTTAGTTATGTTAAAAAGTTGTAGGTGTTTACAAGAAAAGGGTTAAAAGGAGATATATGGAAATGGTAACATGGCTATATTGGAGTGGTTTTCCAAATGTTTTATAATGGACATACATTATTTTTCTAATCAGGAAAAAATCCAATAATTGTGAAATACAAGGAAAGCTGTATAATGTGGTTTGCCTGGAGGCTCCATCCTCCCCTAGCAATGGCCCTGCTGACCAAGATAACATGTTGGGAAAAAGAATATTTTTGGTGATGATGAGAATGTTCCAGGAAGGGAGAGTCAGGGTAGGAAGGAGGGCAGCTGGAGGGCCTAAGAGCAAAGGTCTCACCCATGGACAGGTGAAAGTCAGCCTCTTCTAGGTTCTGTTCTTTTCTGTCCTGGATCTAGTGCTAGGTAGAAGACTCCAGAAGGTCAGGCGGGGCCATGTGCTTGCGTCAAACCCTGTGGTTCTCTTGGCCTCTAGCCTGGGTTAGGGTTAAGGGATTCTTGAGATTAGGAAGGTAGAAAGAAAAGGCCTAGCTAGCAAGCTGTCTGCTTTTCTGGAACATTCCCTAATCCTTTTGAGAAGTTTGAGACACTGTTTGTGCCCAAAGGTGACTGCAGCAACAAAAGTGTTTGCCTCACTTGCCCCTGCGCCAGTAAGGCCAGGCTCTTGCCCTCCATCTGCTCTTCTGGTTGAGCTCTAAGCCTTCTTTTGTCCTTGTCTTTCTTTATCTGCCCTGTCTGGTTTAGCATCCCAGGCAGGAACAGTTTCCTCCTTTCACATAAGCAGAACTGATCTTTGGACTCCCCCTGGGGTGGATATGTCCCCAGAGATGCTTTCCCTACAAGGCTGCCTTGCTGGAGTAACCCACATGGAACAGCCCGAATATCTGAGCTTGGGAACTGAGGCATTTCCTTTGAACTGCAGCATACCTGGGAAGCAGGTGCTCAAAGAGTGAGATTGGGCACCTGTAGTGCTCACCTGGGTGTGCCCAGGCACACATGAGCACATCGTGTTTTTTTTGTCTCCTGCTAGAAAGAACTTCTTTATGCCCCTGGTTCTCTTCCAACCCTCTCTGCAAAGTCTGGAAGGACAAAGGGCCCACTCTGCCTGGGGGCTGGAGAAGAGCTCTTTGTGCGCTGGGAATTCTATGGGGAACCTGGCTGGCCACCCCATCCTAATTCCAGAAGGGGGCCTAGTTGGCCATACACTATAGATTTGTTCATGTTCCTTTTTAATCCTGGGATCCCAAAACATCTGAAGTCCCTTACTCATATTTTTATAACAGCATTATTGAGATATAATTCACATACCATACAGTTCACTTAAAGTGTACAACTCATTGGTGTTTAGTGTATTCAGATTCATAATCATCACCACAATCAATTATATCACTCCCAATAGAAATCCTACACGCATTAGCAGTTGCTCTCTATTTACTTACAGCCCTAGGCAACCACTAATCTATTATCTCCATAGATTTGCCCATTCTGAACATTTTATATAAATCATGTAATATGTGGTCTTTTGTGAGTGGCTTCCTTTACTTAGCATTATATTTTCAAGATTTATCCATGTTGTAGCATGTATCCATACTGCATTTTTTTTTTTTTTTTTTTTTGAGACAGAGTCTCACTCTGTTGCCTGGGCCAGAGTGTCGTGGCATCAGCCTAGCTCACAGCAACCTCAAACTCCTGGGCTCAAGCAATCCTTCTGCCTCAGCCTCCCAAGTAGCTGGGACTGCAGGCATGCGCCACCATGCCCGGATAATTTTTTCTATATATTTTTAGTTGGCCAATTAATTTCTTTCTATTTTTAGTAGAAATGGGGGTCTCGCTCTTGCTCAGGTTGGTTTCGAACTCCTGACGTTGAGCAATCCTTCCACCTTGGCCTCCCAGAGCACTGATGGACATTTAAGTTGTTTCCACTTTTTGACTATTATGAAGAATGCTCCTATAAACATTCATGTATACGTTTAGTGTAGGCATATGCTTTTATTTCTTTTGGGTCTATACCTAAGAGTGGTACAGACCCAAAAGTATATGATTACTCTATGTTTATTTATTTTTTATTAAGTATTATTTATTTATTTATTTTGAGACAGAGTCTCGCTGTCTTGCTGAGGCTAGAGTCCAGTGGTGTCAGCCTAGCTCACAGCAACCTCAAACTCCTGAGCTCAAGGGATCCTCCTGCCTCAGCCTCCCAGAGTGCTAGGATTACAGGTGTGAGCCACCGTGCCTGGCCTCTTTACCCATTTTCAAAATGGGTTTTTTATCATTTTATTATTGAGTTGTAGGAGTTATTTATATATTCTAAATACCAGCTCCTTATCAGATATACGATTTGTAAAAAATGTTCTCCCATGGGTGTGCATTCTTTTCACTTTCTTGATAGTGTCCTTTGAAGCACAAGTAAAAAGGTGTCCCTTTTAATTTTGATGATGTCCCTTACTCATTTTTAATTGTGGGTGAAACAGGCAGAAAGGATGAGGAACAGGTATGCAGCCAAGTTCAAACTGCCTCCAAACAAAGATGATTCAAAACAAATGGGAGAGGGGGACATTGACTAGGTCCATATAAATAGCCTGAATTCGATGAAGTAGGTTGGCGTAGCTCTTCAGAGAACAGCTCCCAATGCCAGGGACAGTATGGGTGTGGATGGGAAATCACAGCATGTGGTGCAATCACTCTTGAAGCTAGAGAAGCTGTGGCTGGTTCTTTGGGAGGATGTATTTTGCCTCATGTCTGTTTGAATCCACAACCCTATTGTAGCAAGGTTTCCGTAGTGTGGTGGTTATCATGTTCACCTAACACAACCCTGTTGTAATAGTCTACCAGGCCCAAATTTTTGTGGAATCACTGAGGCTTTAGCTTGAAGTCATATCTAGATGGGTCCTCTCTTGCCCTGCACCCAGCAAGAGCTGATGCGAGATGGCGAGAGTGGCCTCGCTGGGCAGAGGGCCTGAGCCGTTCTCACCACCGGCCTTCTCAGGAGCTGATCACTGGGCCAAAACATCCAGTGGGAAGAGAATCTCCTACCTACACTTAGAAATTCAGAAGCAGGAATCCTAGGATGGCTTCCTTCTCAGCCCCGAGGGAACTGTAGAATTCTGATTGGCACCTTCCAGAAACCTACCCTCTCAAAACTGAAAGCAGCTTTTGCTGACATCTGGTCCTTCTGGGACGCTGATATTTTTATTTATAAAATGATGCTATTATCCCCAAATAGTTTCTTATTTTTAACAGGCCTTCTTCCTGTGAGGGATGCCTGAGGCTCATAACGCTGCTCTCTGGCATCTCACTGTAACCCTGCAAAGACAACAGGGCCCCTGGCCTATCCCAGAAAGTCAAACAACTCTGTATGTCTGGAGTCCAATTTCTGCATTATCTTCCTTCCTTCCCCTCATCAACCTCAGCCCAGGAAGGAAAAACTTCAATTAGCAGTAATCACCCGTGAACTAAACCCCTGTGACTCACACAGGGAGGGGGGCAGGTAAGATAGGGGCCTGACAGTGCCTTGATTCTCTGTCCCCCTCCTTCACCTATCCTCTGTGAGTCTGTCTGCTGAGGTTTCCTTGTTTCTTATCTTTCAGCTGCCCAACATGTTCGGAGACCTTCGGTCCACGTTTATTGCCTTGATGATTGGCTCCTATGCCTCCTCAGCAGTCACCTTCCCAGGAATCAAGGTGAGGGTGTGGCTGGCGGGTTTCCAGCACGTTTGTTTTGTAGTAGTGTCTGTGCAGAGGCCTCCCCCAAGGCTCCTTCCTCTCTTCTGAAGAGAGAAGTAACCGTGGGTGCTGGGGGTGGCCCCTCCCCACCACTCCTACCTGGGCAGGATACACCTGGGCTTCACAGGCATGAAAAAAGAAAACCGCTGGGCCACGGGGGATGGAAGATTCAAGCGCATCACTGCAGGGTAGCGCTGGCTGCCTGTGCATTTCTGGGCCGGGGTAGGGAAAGGGTGGCGAGTTTGTCTCCCATCCTGAGTCCAGCTCCAGCCTCCCCCGCCCACAGCCTGTTGTTGTGGCGCTGTTGCTCCCCGTTAGCCAAGTTGGTTCAGCTGTTTCCCTCCCAGGCAGATTCGGAGCCTGTGGAAGTCACACAGGGTCAGGATGAAGCAAACACCTCACTGTCCATTGGCCCCAGCTCCTACCCAAACCCTGCGGCTCTGCCAGGGCTTCCTCAGGGGGGCTTCTCCCTCCTCTGGCATTAAGGGACAGCCCCTTTCCTCAGGTGTGCGTGGGCAGGTCACCCAGGAATCAAGAGGGTAGGAGGTGGGAATCTGGGGGCAGCCGTCCCGTAGACTAACAGGGATTCTCGTGTCTCTGGAGCAAGGAGGACCCTATAAGTTCCCCCTCCTCCTTCTCCCAGTGTCTAACTGCCGCTGGCTTCGTTGGTGAGCTGGGCAGCTGTCTGCCAGTACTTTAGGGACTCTTGTGTAGCTGCTGGAAATAAACGGCGCTCATGACAATAACAGCTAACATGCTGCCAGGCCCTGTGCTGAGCACTCTGCCAGGGTCACACCCACTAGTCCCCCAACACCATGGGGACACGTGCCAGTGTACAGTCATTTCATAGAGCATCAAAGGGAAGCACATTTGTCCATGCTTGAGTATTTTTTTGGCACCTGCCACGTGTATTCTTCAAGGCTCTGGAGAATCATCCATGGACGAGGCTAGCAGGTTCCTGTTTTCAGGGAGCTAAACTAACACTAGATGAGCAAATGAACCAAGAAGCACAGTCATCTCAGCCATCTTAGCCTGTTCCCTGTGAGCCCAGGAGACAGTGAGGCGGTGGGAGTGGTCAAGGAAGGCCTCTCCAACACAGACATCTAGTCCAGATTGGAGGCACAGGGGTTAATGACATGCCAGGCCCAGATAACTAGCAAGTGCAAACGAGTTGGGATTATTGGAACCTGGGGTATCTGATGCCCCAACACCCAGGCCAACAGGGCTGTGCCTCCTCATGCCGCTCAGCACAGGGACGGCGGGGGCTGCCGATGCCCCCTGCCTGCTGCCCACTCTGGCTTCCCTCTGCTCACTGTGCTCCCTGTCCCACCCTACCCCACTGTGCCTGGCAGCTCATCTACGACGCTGGTATCTCCTTCATCATCATCCTTGTGGTCTGGGCCGGCTGCTCCGGGCTGGTTTTCCTCAACTGTTTCTTCAACTGGCCTCTGGAGCCCTTCCCGGGGCCAGAGGACATGGACTACTCGTAAGTAGATGTGCCCTCTGCCCCAGCCTCACCCCAGCCAGGGTCCCTGGCAGTGCCAACAGACACTCTCCTGGGGCCTCTAGGGTGAAGATCAAGTTCAGCTGGCTGGGCTTTGACCACAAGATCACAGGGAAGCAGTTCTACAAGCAGGTGACCACAGTGGGGCGCCGCCTCAGCGTGGGCAGCTCCATGAGGAACGCCAAGGAGCAAGCAGCGCTGCAGGAGGGCCACAAGCTGTGCCTGTCCACTGTCGACCTGGAGGTGAAGTGCCAGCCAGATGCTGCAGGTACCTACCTCGTGGCCCCGAGACACCATCAGGGGGTCCACACCCATACCTGGGTGACATGGTTGGGGGCATCCTGATCAGGGGCACCCCTGGCCGAGGGCCTAGTGGGTATCCTCTCACTCCACTCCCACTCCTCCCCGAAGGGGAGGCAGCCCGCCCGCCCTGCTCTGCAGATGAGCACACTAAGGCTCGGAGGTAAAGGGATCTGCCCAACTCTGGTTTCACGCAGGTGACCCCACTGCAGCCCTAGCACCATGACCCTCACCCGGCCTGTCCCGGAGGTCCCCATCCTTGCCTCCAGCTTGGGGCGGTTTGCACAGGGAACTGAGCCTCCCCTCACACACACACCTGGCCCCTGGATGGCAGGTGGGCTCTGCTCCTCGGCCCTGAGCCCCTCACCTCTCCCCACAGCGGCGCCCTCGTTCATGCACAGCGTGTTCAGCCCCATCCTGCTGCTCAGCCTGGTCACCATGTGTGTCACTCAGCTGCGGCTCATCTTCTACATGGGGGCCATGAACAACATCCTCAAGTTCCTGGTCAGCGGTGACCAGAAGACAGGTAGGCGGCCCAGCCCCCGAGAGTGCTGGTCACTATCCCTGGCCCGAGTCGAGCCCGCCGGCCACGGGCCGGACTGTGTCAGGCTGAGTCGGACCAGCAGGGCCCTGAACCGGCAGCATCAGAGGCGCTGCTTGCATGTCAGAGCTGTTGCATCACAGCCAGTCCCAAATGTTCTTCCACCTCCCCGTCAGGGTCTCCCGGTTTAGGAGGGAGGGATGGACCGAAATAGCTACATGTGTTTGGGGTGTGGGGGGTATTTTCCAGTGCCCAAGGGGGAGGGTTGAGGTGTGTGTCTGTAAACGAAAACGCGGCACAGAACAGAGTGCCCGCCTGGGCGTTGCTGAATGACAGCTGGTTGGACCCAACACCGTGAATCCCCTGGAAAAGCGGCAGGGTTGCTGGCGGAGACCCTGGGTGCCGAGGGGAGGGTGGTTGTTGTGGCTGCAGACTCCCGGGCAGTCTGGCCCTCACTGAGATCTACATCATGAAAACTGCGAGACAGGGCAGGGCAGAGGCTTCCTCCGGGTGTGTGATCCAGTCGAGGCTTGCTAACTCCAGTAAACAGCACCGATAACCTACACGCCACTTTCCAGAACAGCACAGAACGTCTTCAGCTGATGAGGGCTTTTGATCCCACAAAGAAAGTCGGTACTTCCCCAGGGCCCGAGCTGAGTCAGCTTTAGTCATCCCCGAGCGGGACAAACACATTTGGAAAATCCTTTTTATTGGCAGTCTTGCTGGTGTGCAGCTTTTTTTGTTGTTGTTGGTTTACTTGTCTTTATCAAGGGGAAGATACCTTAGGCATTGTAAAGAATCAATTATGAGTGTTTAAAGGGAACAAGAAATCAAAAGATGATGATAGCAAAGGGAATCAGATAATATAACCGGTTCTACTGTAAAAATGGGAGTCCGATAGCCAAGCAAAGTGGGGAAACACTGGCCTGTGCCCTTGCAAAAACTCAGAGTGAACACTACAGAGTAAGGCCCTAAGGAACTTGATAGGAAAAAATAACACTGATTTAGCTTTGTTTAGTCCAGCGATGTTCCCCTAAATTTCTACCTCTGGAAACCTTGTTTTGTGTGGCACTCATTAAAATCTGCAGAACGGGCCGGGCGCGGTGGCTCAAGCCTGTAATCCTAGCTCTCTGGGAGGCCGAGGCGGGCGGATTGCTTGAGGTCAGGAGTTCGAAACCAGCCTGAGCAAGAGCGAGACCCCGTCTCTACTATAAATAGAAAGAAATTAATTGGCCAACTAATATATACAAAAAATTAGCCGGGCATGGTGGCGAATGCCTGTAGTCCCAGCTACTTGGGAGGCTGCGGGAGGATTGCTTGAGCCAGGAGTTTGAGGTTGCTGTGAGCTAGGCTGACGCCACGGCACTCATTCTAGCCTGGGCAACAAAGCGAGACTCTGTCTCAAAAAAAAAAAAAAAAAAAAAAAATCTGCAGAACGCACTTTGAAAAGCTGATCTCTTTGGAAAGCTGAGTGTTGTGAACACTGAGGCCCAGAGTGGTGGAGACCCTGAGGTGTATAGGAATAGCCCGGCCTGGCCCTCGGAAGGCAATTCTGCCTGTTGCTGAGTCACAGTCTTTTACTTGAGTTCTCTGAAAAATCTGCTGCTGCCCGGAAGGAATTTTTCCAACTATCTTCTACATTCAAAAAAGACACTTTCAAGAAGTAGAGGAAGTCGGGCTAGGAAGTTTGGTCTGTGGCGGGCAGGGCATTGGTTTTCCCCATCCTGCTCCTGTGACCTGTTGCACCCAACACCCACAGCCCTGGGTCTGCCCAGGGGGGCTGCTGTAGGGTCAGGGAGCCGGGTGCGCTGGGAGGGAGACCAGCTCTGGCTGTCTAGGGGAGAACCATGGTGTCAGATGCTTTGGCAGGGTGTCCGGGGAGGATTCTTTGACCTTCCCGTCTCCCCGAGTGTAGCAAGAGGTAACTGTGACACAGCAGTAGTGCCCCAGGGGCTGAGTGGTAGTGGAGGAGGGGCTCTGATTTTGCCTTCACACGCAAGCCACTTCCCCATCACGGTGCCCGCCACGGTCACTACCACGGGCTTGCGGCAGCAGTGGTCAGGAAAACGTCAGCAGGTGCCCGGGCTGGGCCCCCTCTCCTGAACCCACTCCCAGAGGCCTGGCTCGAGCTCAGCCTCCTCTGAGCGCTGTGCATCACGTCTTGGGGGGCCGTGGAGTGCGTGCTGGGCCCAGAGCTGGCCGGCCACCTCTCCCCTCCTCTCTATAACAGCTGTTGAGATTTCTGTGCTAACCTCTCTCCTTTCTGCCCTTTCGCCTTTGCTTTCTTGATGCAGTGATGGCCACGGGTAAGCAGGGGGCTTGTCGGGGAAGTTGTGACATTCACTCCGTTCAACCCAGAATCTCCTTGCCCTGAGCTCCTGACGTCCCTCTTGGCTAGAACTGTGTGGGTGGAGGTGGGGCAGTCAACTTTCAGCTTCTGTTTCTCTGAAAAATCTCACATGATGTCAAAGCCTGTGACGTGGGAAGCCCAGCGCCTGCCTGGTATATTTCTAGAGGCAGAAAACTAGTGGCAAGTCACACACAAAACCTCAGTCACGGGCGTCGGTAATCGTGTGGTTCCCAAATCAGCGACTTCCCTGAGCTTCTGGAGGAGGTCACTGTGACATGCTGGGTTTCATTCGCCCATTCCTGGAAACAAGCAGGGGATTTAGAGCAGAGAATAGGGTGACCTGCCCCTTGCTCCCCCTTTGATTTCAGAGGTTAGGGTCTCTGGGCTCCCCTCAAGACCCACAGTGACAAGGGAGACCCCAGAAGGGCCCGTGGGTACTGGCGCCCGTCGGTACCGGCGCCCGTCCCAGGGCTCTCTGCCAGGACCCCCACGTGACTTGACGCGCCATCTTCCTCCCCAGTTGCCCTGTACACCTCCATCTTCGGCGTGCTCCAGCTGCTCTGCCTCCTGACGGCCCCCGTCATCGGCTACATCATGGACTGGAGGCTGAAGGAGTGCGAGGACGCCTCTGAGGAGCCCGAGGAGAAAGACGCCAACCAGTGCGTAGGCTGGGCCGTCGCCCCGGCCCCCAACCCCCAGCCCCCTGCAGAAAGACCACAGGGTCACGGGTCAGGCAGGCGCAGGGCGGGCGGTTAGGTTTTTTAGGCAGCAGGAGAAGGGAGAAAGGAGTGTGCTCAAAGCCCATCTCACGAGTCCGCAGACACTCGTTGGGCTCAGCACACGTTTAGGTCTCTCGCCTCTTTATGGGAATTCTTTGGTGCACTAAGGTTTAGGAAGCACCGAGCTGGGAAAAAGAAGGAGAAAAACCAGGGGAAAGTTTGTGCAGACCACCAGCTGCCAAACCATTCTGCTCTGAGGACTGCCCTCCCTACGACCCTGGGCAGGGACGGCACGTGGATCCCCATAGAGCCAGCTGCTTGCCCCCAGGGCTGGTCCCACGCAGGTGTGAGCAGTAAGTCGCTCTAACCGTGTGTATTACGAGAGTCGCTCACGATCGTGAGGATGAAACAAGGTTCTGGGGCCCTACCTGATGCAAGGGCTGGGCTCTAAGATCAGAGGATGAGTTAAAGGCTGTCTTCTCTGACTCCACCTTGATATAATAAGCTGCTATTTGTTGTCCCAGGCCCTGTGCCAAGCACCCAATGCAAAGTATTTCAGGGAAGCCTGACGACACCGTGGTGAAGTGGGTACTGTTTTACAGATAAGGGAACTGAAGCTGGAGTTAGAGTCGTTGGCCTGAGGTCACGTAGTTAGGAAGTGGTGGGCCCGGGGCTCCCTGCACATCTCTGAGCACTCGCGATTCGTTCTTGGGTGTGGTGTGACCCTCCGTGGGGTGTCTGTGTGGGTGGTGAGACTGGGGTTGGTAATAGTTAATTCACAAAGAAATAATTACAGAGAATGCTCTGTTATCTAGGTCAGGTCCGACAGCCAAGAGGTTATTTGTGCCCATTCCAGTTCCATCTGCTGCATGTTTATTTCCCCTTCACTCTTTCCTGCTCCCCGGGGGAAAAGCCACTCACTCCTGTTTGGCTTATTACCTGGCTTCTCATCAGCTTCCTGCAAGATTTGGATGGACTTGAAGCCAGTGGTGAAGTGGGGTGCTGCCACACCCTAGCTTGGGCACACTCTCCTCCTTCTCTCCCCACCGCTTGAGCTCAGTCAGCCTTCCCTGGGGCAGTGCAGTGCCAGTGACCACCTGCTCATATCCGAGACCCTCCACGGAGGTTCCCTCAGTGCTCCTCTGAGGAGGAGGACCGGGGAGTGTCCCTAGTGTCGGTCTAGCCCTGACACAGTCCCTAAAACATGCCTGGGTGGCCTCTGAGTCTTGTGTTGGTTCACATACTGTGACTCCTCCTGAGGCCTAACTCTTGGGGGACCCAGCTTGCTCCAGGGAGCTCCCCAGCTCCTGTGTGCACCATGTCTCCACAGAGGCGAGAAGAAGAAGAAGAAGCGGGACCGGCAGATCCAGAAGATCACCAACGCCATGCGGGCCTTTGCCTTCACAAACCTGCTGCTTGTGGGCTTTGGGGTGACCTGCCTCATCCCCAACTTGCCGGTGCAGGTGGGTGTGGGGAGAGGGAGAGGCCAGGTAGGGTATGGGACAACGAGAAGGGATGTTGTTTAGAGACTAAAAGGTGCGTGATGTGTCGTGGAAGCCATCAACAAAACAAATGGTGACTTTCATTCATTCCATTCAACCCGCCAGCCCACTACCCACCATTATTTACTGAGGGCCTATTGCCTGCCGGGCTCGTGCTTGAGGCTGAGGGTGAGCTGTCAGGCAACTTAAATCGTCTCTCACAGAATCCCTTCTCTATGAAGGCATATTATTCTCGATCTTTTGGGCATCTTGCTTACTATGAAAACCATCATCGTGCCATTTTCTAGGAACCCTGTTTAGGGTCATTGTGTGGTTGGTTTTGCATTTGCTCAAACAGCTAGAATTTGATGTCCAAAGAGGTCTGGCCGATCTGTGTTATTGGTGGGAACACCCTGGTACAAGAGTACCCACAGGGTCTCTCCACATGGGAGCATGGAAATAGACCATGGTGATGGCTTTGCCCTCTGGGTTCAAAAGCTTAATTCCTTTGCACAGGCTTTCTAAGGCTTTTGAAAATTGACTTTTGCCAGAGATTACAAGCCAGGTAGACTTTGTCACCTGCCTGGCTCTACCCACAGATCTATGAAAGTGGTCTAGAAGAGGTCTGGCCCAATCCCCAAGTCTACAGACTTTGGAGGGACATGAGTGATGACTTTCCTTCCAGATGGGTGTTGCCCAAGTCCAGATGGTATCCCAGGCCAGGTCCAAGAGGAAAGCAAGAGTCCCTCCCTATTTACAAGTGGCCAGGTGTTAAGGTACATGAACTTAACCGTCAGTGCTCTCTTGCATATGTGCTCACACTGAGCATGTGGACCAGGTAAGCCACTGAAACTTGTGCCAGTTCCAGGGAGGAATGTTGTTGCCTCCCTCCTGCCTTCCCTGGTCTCCTGGGTTGGTCTCTCTGCAAGACTGGCAGATCCTTGCCCTGACCACCTTTTCCAAGTAAGGAGCAATGCTCACAGGAGACAGTCATCTACTCTTTGTTTTATTTAGTTCTCCTTGAAAGGAAAGTTGTGAAAAGGCAAGAAGGCATTTGAAGTGGAGAGGGGGCGCTGGCACAGGTATGCGTGTGCACTTGGGTGTAGCCCCTGCCCCCTCCGCCATCCACATTCCTGGGAACAGGTCCTGGCTGCTGAGCAAGGTGGCAGGGCCGTGTACAAAAGACAAAATGGGCAAACACAGGGTCCTGATGGCAACTTGAACAGCTCTTGTGCCTCTCAAGAATCATTAACAAGCATTCTTAGAACTTGCTGGGCGTGCTGGCAGTGGCCTGCCTGGGTAGGGCCCTCCCACAGGCAGCAATAGAACTTTGCTAGGGAGTGACCAGGCAGGGAGCCCTCTGCACGGTCCTCAGGTGGGCAAAGGCAGGAGATCAAGGTCAGGTTAGTGACCCCCTACTCAGGAGTGTTGTGTTGATTCATGTTTAGCAACAGAGCCCTGATAGCAGCGTTTACTGTCATCATGGCTGATTGCAAGCTGCCAGTATGATGTCACTGGCTGTGGGGTTGGAAAGAGATTCAGAGCAACACACCCTCACCTGGTGTTTTTACCACACACATACAATAGGTGTGCAAACCCTGAGGATCACAATAGTAGTGTAACGTAGTGAAATAACTACGAAGTGATAAGTTTTGAGTATTCATCACCTTTATTGTAATATAGTTTATTAAATTTTAAGTTGATAGAATTTAATTTTTAATAATGACTATGTTTAACCACTGGCTTGCAAAATTTCTGAAAATTCAGCAGTTGGCTCTGGAGAGCTGGTCGGAGCTGACTCCAGGCTGCTACTGCGGGAGGGTGGGGGGACAAGGTGAGGGCCCCGCAGGGACTCCTGCTCATGCTGTGCTCTCCCTCCCTCAGATCATCTCCTTCATCCTGCACACAGTTGTCCGGGGATTCATCCACTCTGCCGTTGGGGGCCTGTATGCCGCCGTGTAAGTCCTGGAAGCTGCAGGTGGTTTGGTGGCCGAGGGTGTGGGGATGGCCCGAGGGAGGTTGATGGTGGGACTGAGACCTTGAGGCTGGGACACCTGCCCTAGCAGGGTTCATCTGCTTGCATCGGGGGACAGGCACCAGGGTTCCTGCTGGGTGTGTCAGGGGAAGGCCATACCTGGCGGGAGGCGGGTCAGTGGGCAGACAGTTGGGTGCCCACGAGCCTTGGCATTTAACACGAAGTCAGTTCCCTCAGCCAGGGTCAGTGCCCTGTGCAGCTCATTGTGGCCTCAGGGGCCGCCACTCAGCTGAGTCCTGGGGCTGGCCCTGGCTGCCCACTGGGAAGGGCAGGGGCGGGTTCTGGCTGCCTGAAGCTAAATGATGAAGTTCACATGGCTCTCACCAGGGGCAGCAGCATAGGTGCTGAGCCCAATTGCACCTAGAGCCTCTAAGGCAGGGGTCCTCAAACTTTTTAAACAGGGGGCCAGTTCACTGTCCCTCAGACCATTGGCGGGCCGGACTATAGTTTAAAAAAAACTATGAACAAATTCCTATGCACAGTGCACATATCTTATTTTGAAGTAAAAAAACAAAAGGGCAGGCCGGGCCCGGTGGCTCACACCTGTAATCCTAGCACTCTGGGAGGCCGAGGAGGGCGGATTGCTCAAGGTCAGGAGTTTGAAACCAACCTGAGCAAGAGTGAGACCCCGTCTCTACTATAAATAGAAAGAAATTAATTGGCCAACTAATATATATAGAAAAAATTAGCTGGGCATGGTGGCGCATGCCTGTAGTCCCAGCTACAGGCTGAGCCAGGAGGATCGCTTGAGCCCAGGAGTTTGAGGTTGCTGTGAGCCAGGCTGATGCCACAGCACTCACCCTAGCCTGGGCAACAAAACGAGACTCTGTCTCAAAAAAAAAAAAAAAAAAAAAGGGCAAAAACATCTGCATGTGGCCTGCGGGTCATAGTTTGAGGACGCCTGCTCTAAGGGCTCAGTTCTGCATAGCCTTCTTGAGCCCTGGCTAAAATGAAATGTGCATCTCTTCCTAAGAGACCACACCTCCATGAGAAACCACAGTGTTCCTCCTTCTCTGGCCTGGGGCGTGGCCCGAAAACTGGAACCTGAACGCCATCATCTACTGTCTCTGACTGTGAAACCAGCTCATTCCTTGCTGGGAGCCCCTTCCTGCTTCTGGGGCAGCAAAGCCTGATGTGTGTTTAAGATTTAACCCAGAACTCTCTCCCCATCCTACTGCATCCCATGGGGTCATTCCGGGTCTGCCTGTGCTCCACCTCGCCTGTGCCAGGCCTGGAGGAAGTTGTGGTTGTCCCGGCAGGGCCTGAGGGAGTCAGGCAAGAGCCGTGATGCTGACTTTCCGTGATTACACAATGCTCCTCTGGATGAGGGGACAGCAGCGCCAGGCCCAGCCTCCAACCTGCTCCCTGGGCCTGTTTCCCAAGCTGCGGACTCATGCCAGCACCACACTTTCCACTGAGCTCTGCCAGACACCCATAGGCCTGGGGCACATCTAGGTGGTGTGGCCCTCCCCAGACTCTGGAGCCTCGGGCTGGTTGGAAAGAGAAACACTTTGCAGAACTGCTGAGCAGAAAGTAATTCAGGGGCTGGCACCCCACCCTTCTCTGATGCCAAAGGTGCATCCCCGGGCACCCGGGGCCAGGCTGAGCCCACAAGGATGGCCGTGATAAGTGTCCGGTTGCCCCAACAGGTACCCCTCCACCCAGTTCGGCAGCCTCACAGGACTGCAGTCGCTGGTCAGCGCGCTCTTTGCTCTCCTGCAGCAGCCACTGTTTCTGGCCATGATGGGTCCCCTCCAAGGAGACCCTCTGTGGGTAAGAAAGGTCGGGGGCAGGGGGCGCCAGGCACCTACTGACTGGGAGCTGGGAGGCATCACTTAGGGGGCTTCAGAGCCCTGAGGACAGGTAGCAGTTTGGGAACTTGGGTTAGGATCAATTCAGGGTCCCCTTGTGAATGGTGGCCAGACAGGAGGAGAGAAATCCCCTCTGGACCTGATTTCAGGATAAATGGAACAGCGTTCCTGTCCTGATCCCTCCTTTAAGGGCAGGGATTCTTGACCAGGTACCAGGGGCCTGTCCCCACTCCAGCCCCACCCCTAGAGATCCAGATCAATAGGTCTGAGATGGGGCCAGCCCCGGAGGGCTGCCAAAGCCCATGGAAAACTGGGGAATTCGGATGCTGGAATGTGGAAGGACAGGCCCTGGGACTTTTTGGATCCTCTTATTTTTTTTCGCCCTCTCCTCTCCTGTGCCCTTCTCCCCTTTCCTGAACCTGAGTGTGAGGGTCTGGAGCCCCGCCTTCTCCCCTGCCCGCAGTGATGGCCTGGCCACTCCCTGCCCGCAGGTGAATGTGGGGCTGCTTGCCCTGAGCATGCTGGGCTTCTGCCTGCCCCTCTACCTGATTTGCTACCGGCGCCAGCTGGAGAGGCAGCTGCAGCAGAAGAGGGAGGACGACAAGCTTTTCCTCAAGATCAACGGTTCATCCAACCGGGAGGCTTTTGTGTAGCGCCTGCCACCTCCGAACTGGGGCCTCCTGCCTGTGCTTCAGTGACTGACCCGTGTCCTCCTCCCCACCCCAGAGGACCCCACGCACCCCCAGGACCCTCTCCTTCACCATATTGGAGTCCACGCTCCCTCCCAGGGCCCTGGTCTGCCTCGGAGCTCTGTGGTGGAAGGACAGGAGAGGGCCCGACGGGCCAGTCTCCACTGCTAAAAGCAGGGGCTGCGCTGCTGGTTGCCTCCAAAGGACCCTGGGGCCCCGGGCTCCACAGTGCCTGCAGGAGGAGGCTCTCTCCCTCGAGTGTCTGGATTCTGCCTCTTGCCAAAGCAGAGGGGTCTGCCATCCCCTGCCGCCACCTGCCTCTTGGCTGCATGCCCACCGGCCACGCCTGCCCGAGGACAAAGGCTTGCACTGTCTGCACCCCCTCGCCTGGCCCCTCACCTCCTCCTCTGGCCGGTCTGAGGCTGCCTGAGGAAGGAAGGACCCGCTTCCTGTTGTTGGTGCTAACTCCTTTGTAATTCCAGTCCCCCATGGCCTGTCCTCCCATTTCGGCCTGTGGAGAAGCCCCCCTGGCTCCCAGGCTGAGGAGGGGATGAGGGCCTGGTGGTCCCACAGAAGCCTTGGGAGCGTGGACAAGACTGACCGGAGGCCCTGCGCCTCGTCCCTCAGGGCCTACGGGGGCAGCACGTTCCCACTGCCACCCTCATGCCTGTCTGCCACCTGAAGGGGATTAAAGGACCATTACCAGGGTGCCCCCACATACACAGCTGTTCTGGGGGGCGGAAGGAAGGCTGTGGCTCACAGACACGCAGGTCCAGGCCTGGGCCGGGAAGTGGGTTTGTGATGGGCCAGGGGGTGTGTGTGCATGTGGTATGTGTGAGATGGGGGTGTGGGTGCGCTCTGGGGGGGTCTGTCCCTGTTCCCAGCCACCAGACAGGGAGCCAGCCAGGCGTGCAACAGGCCCTGCACAAGGGAGCCAGCCTGGCTCACAGCCAGGAGCCCAGTATAAGGCCGTGGGGCCACAGCGCCCCCTGCTGGCAGACTCTGCCAGGGCCTGGCGCTGTTTGCGTGAGAGAGTGGCTCACCCACCTACCTTGACTGCCCCCAGAAATGTGTCTGAGACCTCCTGGGAGTGCTGAGAGGGGTGAGTTGATTTTTTTGGGTTTTTAGTTGTTTTTTTCCTCTTTTGAAGTTTTGTCAGACTTCTTTTTATAAAGCAATAAATGCATTTTCCTCCTGGGTAAGGGATGCCCTTCTAGCATATCAGTTAATGGCTGCATGTGCCTGTTTTGACCTTGAGAAGAAAAGGCAGGACAGCATTTTCTGCCACTGACCAGCCCCAGCCGTACCCAGCTGCTCGCCATCTCTCTGGGGGACTGCCGTGTTGGGGTGGGGCCGTGGGCCAGGAAAAGACCTTCCCCATCCCCAAACAAACAGGGCTGCGCAGACATCTTGGACGTGTGGGCCACCCCTGCCTCCCCCATGACTGCTTCCCCCAGCCAAACAGGCTAATCCCAACCCTCCACCCCTACACAGATTGCCTCTCACCCTTCCACAACCCCGAGGGCTTCTCCTGAGCTCAGGACACAGGGTGAGCCCGGGAGAGCCGAGGGCTCAGAGAGGGCAGAGTCGGGATGCAGTGGGGGGACGAAGGAGAACGGGAGAGGGCAGGTAGGCTGAATTCAAGCCCTGCTTTAACACCGGGGCACCTCGAACACACCCGATTGCCTAGGCTTTAGTCCACTCAAATGGTAAAATCAAATTCCCCCCTCCCCCCCAAAAAAACCAAGGAGAGAGAAATAGCTCCACATTTCCCAAACCACTCCTTAGAACACTTGTTTAGTGGTAAGTTAATGGTCATTCTAGTTTTTTCACAAGTTCTATAGTCAAATGTAGGAAAGGCTGAGTTCAAGTCCAGCCTGTTACAGTGAAGCCCTTGCAGTGCTTTCTGCACACAAGTGACTCACGAACTCTGTGGCTCTCTGAGAGTGTGGCAGGTTTCCTGCTGAGAGACACCCGGAGCCATCTGACTCTGGGTGTGGCCCAGTGAGCACCCGCAGCAGAAGCTCCTGGGGTGCTGATTAGAAACGTGGGCTCTAGGTCGGGCCTCTGACTGGGGGTTCTGGTGCCTCCCTGAGCTTGAGACCCACCGTGGAACAGGAGTGCAGGTCGGGAAAACAGATGAGCTAGGGCCCTTCCAGCTGGGCAGATGTGGTATTGAGGTTGGGCAGACATGGCCTGTGCTGTCCCCAGCGGTGTCCAAGCCCAGCCAAAATGGAGCTGCTGCCTCATTCTCCCACCCTCCCGCAGGGTGTGGCCCTCTGTGGGATGAGAAACTAGTGTCGAGGGTGGAAAGCAGTTCAGGGCCAACAGTGTTTGAGAACTCGAGGCATGAAAATGGTCCCAGGGCACAGAGGTTGTGGGTAGCCAGAGAGGTTGGGTACCACCTGCACCCCCACCACTAGTCAGGGGCCATCCTACCTTGACTTTGTACAGAGTTAGCAGTTTACATGTTTCCCTGTTATCACTGAATCATGATGACAATCTAAGAGTTAAATAGTATTCTTATTTTATAGCTGAAAAAAATTGAGGCCCAAACAGGTACAGTAGCTTGCTCAGGGTTAGAACCAGGACTCGAATGGGTCTTAAGTCATTGGGGCGGCCAAGGCCCTCTAGACAGGGACATTCCATTCGGAGCAGTAGCAGCCCCGGGAGCCACCAGGCCTCTGCAGCAGGGAGGCAACTGCCTGAGGAAGGGGAACCAGCCCAGGCATAGTCTGTTTCTGGGGGCCAAGAGCTTTCTCAGAGGTATCAGTGGGCTTGGTAGAACCGTGTTTGCCCTGGAGGCTGATGGGTACCTGGAGGAGCAATTCCCTGGTGACCCCAACCCCCAAGAGCAGTACCCTGAGATGGCAGAGGGGCCGTGGCTGATCAAGGCAGTGGGCACCCAGTGGCCGCAGCCCTCCTGTCTTCTCCCTTGTCCTGCAGGCCACTGGAGGGAAGGAGCAGGGAGTGACGCCTGGCCCTGTGCTTCCAGAGTGAGCAAGGGGCTGGGCCAGCCTCAAGAGCACTGCCCGGAGCCCCTCTCCTCACCAGGCCCTGGGGTCCAGGCATTCCTTTGTGGTCGGCTTCCTCCAACCCTCGAGGCCTCTGACTGCAGCGCCCACTGCCTGGGCCCCGCACACAGGGCGGGTTGGCCAACAACGTGGCCGCAGGCCCCTGTGGATTCTGGTTTGCTCCATCTGCCTTCCCCTCTTGTACCCTGTATCGTCCTGGTCAAAGAACTATTCTTCTCAAATCCTTGTCATGGCCCTGTGCTGTGCAGTCTGAGGACAGCGTCACATTGCCCCAGGCCCCAAGGACACTGAAAACGGTGGGATATCAGGTATTGGGCTTATGTGTGCAGGACTGTGCTAGACAGTAGCACAGACACATTCAGCCAATGTTGTGAGGGCATTAGGTTTCTAATGCCCTGGCGTGCCAGTCTGTATGAACGAGCAGATAATGACCGGGAGAGGGGTGAGGACAAGCTGTGACATCCCGAGGTGAAGGGCTCCTGCCAGGACCTCCGGGGAGGCTTCTCCACAGAACTGGCCGTCAGGGCCGTCTAAGCAGCAGCTCCCCTCCCTCTGAAGGGTAACAGGACGGGTTCTCATGGGCTCTTGGCACAGGTAGGTACCTTACCTGTGCCAATTACTGGAGGCCCGACTTAAGGATGGTATTCCACAGTCCCCAAATACAGACCATGGGATTGTGAGGGTTGGGAGTCTAGGATCCCCCAAGGGGGGTTGAGTGGGTTATCCACAGGCTGCATCCCTCCTGTGGCGTAGGGGGTCAGGTAAGCAGGTGGCCTCTGGAAGCCTGTTCCCCCATGCCCTGACTCACCCCAAATCCTGGGACGAGGACAGAGCTTCCCGAATGTCATGAAGGAGGTGCAGCATCCTTCACGTGGGTGGCCTACCAGGTTCAGGCCTCTCCCTGCCAGCACGGAGCCACCGCCATGCCCCCTGGTCTCTGCAGTTAGTCATTTTCACCTTCCTGGGCAGATCTGGGGCCTCGACCCTTCTCAGAGTGAGAAGGCTCCATTGCCCCATGCCAAGGAAGCAATGAGGGAAGAGCAAAGGTTGGGGGTCTTGGTGGCCTTAGACACCAATTGAGCTCAGTTTCTCATCTGTAAAATGGAGGTAGAAATACCTTCATAGCATGGCTAATTTAACATGTAGGTGAGTACCTTCCCCGTAGTATACCTGGCACTTAACAGGTACTTAATAGTAGCATTATTTTTAGGACCCTGGAAGAAGGCAGCTAGCACAGGGAACGAGGCCCTCCCCGTTCACCCGGCCCACATAGTAGGATGCCCACCTTGCACTGCTCTGACCAGGACAGGCCCTTGGCCAAGTCGAGAAAGTGAAGTCTGTGTCTGCTGACCCCTACCCTTCTCACATCCCCTCTCTGAGCAGAAGCCTTAAGAAATGATTCCCTTGTTTGTTTGTCTTTTGTGGCTTTCACATTTTGGTAAGACTTGGCCAAAAAGCTTCTCAAGATAATTTCTGAATGGTGAGATGTTTATGTTGGGTGGGGTGACTCAGATCACGGTCACAAAGGCAGGACCTCTACACCTTGTCCTTGTAAAACTGCTTGGCCGTGTCTCTAACTCTGTGTGTGTGTGTGTGTGTGTGTGTGTGTGTCTGGGGTGTGCTCTGGGTGTGTCGAGGTGTGCACATGTCTGGAGGAGCTTGTCCGTGTGCCTCGCTGCCTGGATGGAACAGAGTGGGAGGGTCTTGTCTTGCCGAATCCGTTTCCATTGCTGGAAAGATCATTTAGACAGGGCCGGCCCAAGGACCCAGCCCAGGCCCTCCAAGTGGTGCCTGAAGGGTTAATCCATTCCCTGTATTAACCAGGGTCACTACCATGTCCTTGACAACTCAGCAGCTGACCCCGACTCTTCCCTACCCCTTTGCTGTTTCTAGCACCTGGCTTACTTCCGGGCACACAGTAAGCACTCAATAAATGTATGCTGAGAATGACTAAGAACTGCTTTCTCCTCGGCTCCTGTCTCTTTCCGTGTCACAAATCCCTTGCCTCTGTCTCTTGTCCTGATTCCCTGTCACCTGGCCCCACCCTTCCCCTAGGCTGTGTTTGCTGGTGTGGCGCTCTGCACTGCCACTTGAAGAACTGTGGGGGGGACAGGGCAAGCCGCCCTTGGGTGGGAAGACCGAGACTGCCGACTGCCCGTGAATTCTGGCTCCAAAAGGGGCCCCTTTCCCTTCCCAGAGAAGCCCTGGGGAGATGCCCACCTAGCCAGGGAGGGGAGGGGGCTGCCTGTCTGTCTGAGGCCTGGCCCCCAACCCTGCTGGGGTGAGGGGTCTTGAGGTGCAGGGGGGGTGTGTGAGTGGCCTCTGGGGTGCTCCCCGTCAGGGCTGCAGACTGGCACGCTGGGCTCGGCCATATGCCTTTGTCGCTGCCTCTCCTTTTCCCACTTGTGGTGCAGACAGCACAGAGAAACACTTCCCCAGTGTGAGCAGAGCCACAGCATATGCTCTGCGGTGACACGGGGCCAGCTGCACCTCGACCTCCATGTCAGGGACACAAAAGAACTCAGTGGGGACTGGGGGGACCCGGAGGCCACAGCCCCCACCTCAAGGGACAGCCTGACACAGCTCCAACCAATGACTGTCATGTGAAAAGAGCCCAGTGCTACCAGATCTGATTTTTTCCTACTGGAAATCCTGAGTTTTATATAAAATATCCCCATTTTCAAATGTTGGCTCAAAAGAATTTTCAAAAAAAAATCACAGCTGCTCAAATCATTTTTAACCCTATGTAGGCCAAACACTGCGAGTGGCAGGGAGAGAAGAGGAGCTGGCAGGAGGACCTCCTGGTCTCTTTTGGGTGCCCGAAGCATCTGCTGTGTGTTTCCTCTGCCCCAGCAGAGATGACACTTGGCTCCCTTCTGCATTAGGTCGCGGCCCTATGTGGGCTGGGACCTTTTTCGTTCTACTTTGGTCTCCCCTAGCCTGGCTCATAATGAATGTTGTCGAGTGAGCAAATGGGTTAAACACTCTAGTTTCTTGAGTGGCCCACAGTCGCTATTTAGGGATGGGGAATTGTCAGGCAAAGCTCAGAGCAGAGCCAGCTCACCCTCCCAGGCCCGAGTCCCTACCCACAGCCTGGCCTGGCCTGGCCTGGCCTGACCCGACCAACACCCTCTGCCCAGTGGGACAAGCTGGACAGCTGGGTCACCTGTCTGTTCTTTTGTCTAGTGTCTGTCTCTCCCCAAGAAGGAATATTTTTCGAAAGCTGGCACCTGCTCTTCTTTGGTCACCACTAAGCCCCTAAGTGCCTAGAATGGTGCCTGGCATGGAATAGCTGCTCAATAAATATCTGTAATATTTATTGATGGGTGGCTGTAACCGAGGCAGTGATAAGGGCCAGCGAGGAGAAGCCATGCATGTGGGGTCGAGCTGTGGGGGCAGGGCTGGAGCCATGAGATCCACAGACACGTAGACGAAGGGGAGGGAGGAGTTGAGAGAGAGAGAAAGACTGAGACAGAACAGAGAGCAGACAGACGGGGGAAAGGAGACAGCTGCAAAGAGACGATGAAAGAAACACAGGCTGAGGGTGTGTTACCCAGAGTGGAGACAGCAAAAGAGAGATAAGAGAGAGAGAGACAGAGACAGAGAGAGATGTGGAGTAGAGAAACAGAACAGAAAGAGAGAGAGAGAGGCACAGGGAGAAACAGAAAAATGAAGAGAGACAGAAAGATACAAAAGAGACAGAGAGGAGAGCCAGAAGGAGCTAGAGAAACAGAGAAGACAGAGAAGCAACAAAGCAAAGAAAGACACACGGAACAGGAGCTGGAGGTGGGAGGATCGCTTGAACCCAGGAGTTCGAGGCTATAGTGAGCTATGATGACACCACTGCACTCCAGCCTGGGCAACACAGCGAGATCTTGGCTCTGAAAAACAGAAAGAAAGAGACACAAATATCTGTGACACTTGCTTCTTTCTCTCCCCCAGCCTTTTTTCTTTTTTCTTTTTTTTTTTTTAGAGACAGGGCCAGAGTGCAGTGGCCTGATCATAGCTCACTATAGACTCGAACCCCAGCCTCAAGCGATCCTCCTGCCTTGGCTGCCAGAGTGCTTAGGATTACAGATGTGAGCCACTAGGCTTGGCCTCATTCCTCTTTTAAGCATAGAGCATGCAGAGGTAGTTTTGAGGGGCAGTAGTGTCCATCACTTCTCCCTCATAACAAATTTTCCCAATAATAATGAGGAAATTCCACCCTCTGCACCTTTGTTTATGCTAGTTTCCTTCTCGAGATGCATTCCCTCTTCCTAGCTAAACTTGGTTCACGTCCCCCACGTCCTGGGACACTTCCCACACCTCCTTGAACCTTCTCCTCCACTGTTCCTTGTGTCACACATGTTCACCTTTATAGCTATCTCCAGTGGCTACTGACAATTTTCTGCAAGCACCAGGTCTCCATTCCATGAGTTCCTGGAGGGTAGAGGCTATTTCTCAGGCATTTTTATTTATTTATTTATTTGAGACAGAGTCTCACTCTGTTGCCCTGAGTAAAGTGCCGTGGCGTCAGCCTAGCTCACAGCAGCCTCAAATTCCTGGGCTCAAGTGATCCTCCTCTCTCAGCCTCCTGAGTAGCTGGGACTACAGGCATGCACCACCATGTCTGCCTAATTTTTCTATATATTTTTAGTTGTCCAGATAATCGTTTTCTGTTTTTAGTAGATAGCAGGGTCTTGCTCTTACTCAGGCTGGTCTTGAACTCCTGAGCTCAAGCGATCCTCCCGCCTTTGCCTCCCAGAGTGCTGGGATTACAGGTGTGAGCCACCTCGCCCAGCCAATTGTTTGCTTTTTTATTCTCTACCGCTAGCCAGCACAGCCCTCCAATCCCACCTTCCCTCAACTCTTATCAGCTAAGGAGTTAGCTTAGCAGTAATTCCTTCCTAATCATCCCGGTCTCAGTCTAAATGCTGCCTCCTTCAAGAGTCTTCCCTGACCACCTGACTAAGGCCACCTACCAAGGCCAAAGTCACCTATTCTTCATAACATTCATCACTACTGGAAGTGATTTCTGTATTCGTTTATATTCTACTTCCTTCCCATTCGGTAAGGGCAATACCTCATTTTTTTGGTCACGCCTGTATCCTAAGTGCCTAGAAAAAGCTGTAGGATGGGGCCAGGTGGTCAATGAATATTTATTGAGTAAGTGAATAAATGGACTTTCCTTAACTAGGTTGCAAGCTCCCAAAGGGCAGGGTTTGCTTGCTCCCTGAAGATAGCCATCATGTGGCATTTGTTACATTACTGTTCATTGATATTAGGCTAGGCCCTCAGGAGACCAGGGTCCAGGCCACTTATTTAATCTTAGACTTCAGGTCATAATGTCTCCTTTCTTGGCCATCCCTCCATGGGCTTGGGCTTGGATTTCCGGTGCTCTCCGTGGTCCCACTCTAGGATCTGATGAATGAGTACAATGCTCAGGGTGGTCCTGGGGCAGCAGTTACAGCTTGCTAGCAATATGGCCGCCTGTCTTAGACCTCCCTTCTTGGGAAGCTTGCGCACCCTCTCACCTAGATGCCCTTCGAGCACCCTGGACTCAATGAATCTGACACTGGAGTCATCATCTGCCCCAGTACCTGCCTCTCCTGTGTTCTCAGCAAGGACAGTACTGTCCATCCAGGCTCCCAGGCCAGCAAACCCGGGTGGTTTTCTCTCCTCCTCCCTCACTCCCATCCTCTCAGCCCATGAGTCCACAGGTCTTTCGGAGTTTACCTTCTGAGTTGTTCCTGAGTCCACCCCTTCCTTTTCTTCCTTCCAACCGCTGTCTTAGTCCACCTTCACCTGGAGCAGCAGCCCTGTCCTAACTGGTCTCCCTGTCTCCATATCCTCTGCGTCACCAAGCCACCAGAGTGAGCCTTCACACTCTGCTGCTCACATCTCTGCTCAGAACCTTAAATGCCTTCCCATGGCCCTTGCAATAGATTCCAAACACCTTATCATCACCTGCCAGCACCCAACTCCCCTCCCAGCTCCTCATCCCCCAAACTTTATGCTCCAGTCACTTGTGTCAGTTCCCCAAATGCATGGCGATCCCCCTCTTGCCTCCAGCCTTCACATGCACTCTGCCTGTGCCTGCTGTGCTCTTCTCCCCAGCCTGTCACTGCAGATCTCAGCTGAGGATCTCTTCCTCCAGGATGCCTTCCCTGACTACACCCTTCACACTCCTCTGGTGTACCCCACCAAGGCCATGTTTCACCTCTCACAGCCCTATTCGGTTTTTGCTTTTTTTTTTTTTTTTTTTTTGAGACAGAGTCTCGCTTTGTTGCCCAGGCTAAAGTGAGTTCCATGGCATCAGCGTAGCTCACAGCAACCTCAAACTCCTGGGCTCAAGCTATCCTCCTGCCTCAGCCTCCCGAGTAGCTGGGACTACAGGCATGCGCCACCATATATATTACTTGGCCAATTAATTTCTTTCTATTTATAGTAGAGACGGGGGTCTTGCTCTTGCTCAGGCTGGTTTCGAACTCCTGACCTCAAGTGATCTGCCCGCCTCGGCCTCCCAGAGTGCTAGGATTACAGGCGTGAGCCACCACGCCCAGTCCCTATTCATTCTAATTGCCTGACTCTGTCTCCCCCAGCTACCCACCTACCCACCCCCACTGACCCTGATTTCCCTACAGGGCCAGATAGTATCTGCAGTGTTCACCCTCTCAACAAAAATACAGGCTTTGGGACACAACAGACACTCAGCACATATTTACTGGATGAATGACATTACACTAAGACTGCTGGGTTAAAATCTGAGCCCCATCACATTCCAGCTGTGGACTCGCACAAGTCCTGCTCCTTCTCCTCACCTGTAAAATGGGAAGAGTAACAATACCTTTCTGGCAGAGTTGTTGTGAGGGGCCAAGCACTTAGAAGAGCATTTGCACATAATTGTGGCTCTTATTAATGTTTTTTGACATAACCTTTTTCTGGATCTCAACGCACCCCACCGGGGAGGCCCCA